CCTTCCTGCGATGATGGACTCTGAGAGACAGGGCGAGCGGATGAAAACAAATGTGGGAGAGGATAAGATCGAGTTTTTTTTTTTCGGCGGTTCCGTGGCTGGAGACTACGAGCGGCATGGCTTTTAGGATGACCACGTATATGTACGATACAATAATATCTTTGCAATTCTTTCTAATGACAGGTGATTTAAGTTTCTCAAGTTTTCCATTCATACGAAATTTCCTGTGTTCATCCAAACAACCACCAATCCAAAATTTCCTATGATTTTGAATCCTTGTTTTCCATATGCAATCCTATCCTGTTTTTCCTATCCTAGATTCCAAAGGAGGCCTTAGCCCCGGACATCCAGACAGACACCGGTGTCATTACCTCGTTTCTCACGCACCCTGGTGCACTCACGTGGGGCCGCACCACCTAGACCACGCACGCCGCTCGCCCGACCGACAACACGTGAAGGCTGCTCGTCGCTCGTGCCTCGCACTTTCTACGCGCTTGCAGGCGGGCACCGCTCGTGCATCGTACGCTTCCCAACGCCCCAGCAGCTGCCGCAAGCGGCTGCGGCAGGTGGTCCCAGTGCAACATGTGTGGCATCATATCTACTATTACAATATCTAGATGAAATACTTGCAACATACGTCTGAAACACTTATAAAACACCTGAAAACACTTCAAATCATTGCAAACACATGCAACATCCAGATCTAGTTTTACAACATCAGATAAAACACTTGCAACATACGTACATACGCTTGCAACATGCAGGTTATGAAATATCTAGATATACTTCTGCAACATCTAGATGAAACGCTTGAAACATACGTTTGAAACAACTGAAACGCTTAAAACATATACTTGCAGCATGCGTATATAGCCATTGCAGCATACGCAACATCCAGATGAAACACTTGAAATATACGTTTGAAATAACTGAAACACTTAAAACATATACTTGCAGCATGCGTATATAGCCATTGCAGCATACGCAACATCCAGATGAAACACTTGAAAACAACTTCTGAAACACTTGAAACATGGCGTCGCCGGCCATGGCCACCTGGTGGGAAACTGCGGTAGCCAACAAGCAGCACTCAGGTGTAATGGAGAGGGAGGATGGCGGTAGGCAAGCGACCGGGTGTGGTGAAGAACGCGGAGCCAGAGCTGTCGCCGTGGACCATGCCGCACCGGCTCGAAGAACATATAAGGTGTATCTTGTATCGCCTGTATGACGATTGGATTCTCAACTTAACTGGGGATTATTTTTAGACCCTGACACCACGTGCCTACGTCATCTACTACCAGGCTCGGGGACTAAGTGGGCACACTTCACCTTGCGGTGAATGTGCTCGCTCTGATGGATCAAACGCCTCCGATTCTATAAGGACGACGGTGTCTCTTCTCGACTCAGAGTCAAAGTGGGCACACTTCGGGGAAAATATTTTTTAAATTTTACCTTGAGCTCCTTACATCCTTCTGGCAAGCTCAAGACGACGCTATTCGAAGGATACAAGGCGCTCGGGGACTAGCTGTGGGGGTATGGCCTCCGGTATCCTCAAGACAAGACATGGGCCGCACCATCAGAGGTGGCCCGGCCCATAAGATCGAGGCGTGCACGACAAGATTACAAATTGTACTAGATATTGTAATAAGTACCAAATAGGATACTTTAATTGTAACCCTCCTCCTCCAGACTATATAAGGAGAGGCAGGGGTCCCCCTCAGGGGACAATCCATCTAGATCAGACAGATCGTACAGATCTCACCTCAATCAATACAGAATAATGAGACACAGGACGTAGGTATTACGCCAACACGGCGGCCGAACCTGTATAAATCTTGTGTCTTGTGCCTCTGTAACCATCTGGTTCCTGATTACGCGCACCGTCTACCGACAATCTACCATCATGGGCATACCCCTAGATGGACTGCCGACCATATTTCGTCGACACACCGGCTCGAAGAACTCTGCGGCGAGTGGTGAGTGGCGGTGGGGGAACAGGAAGGCAGGCGGCGGCGGCGCTCGGACGCGGTGTAGCATGTCACTGCGTCGCGGGCGCGGCGGTGTGGGCGCGACAGTGCGGTCGCGGTGGAGCATGCCACAGCGATGCGCGCGTGGAGAGTGGGTTCGAGAATGGAATGCTGGCACAGCGGCAATTTGAGAGGAAGGTGAGAGCGGAGATTTTTTTATCTTGAGCAACGCGAGATGGATGCGTCCGTGCGGATGGCAGTGTTGCCTGTTGGACCATTCGAACGGACGTCGAGGCCCACCAACACACGTCCGGACGAAATGGACGCTCTACTCAAAGTATTTCCGTCTCTTATTTGCAACTCCTATACACATGAGTGTCGAATTTTTAGGATGAACCCTTTGCGGTATTTTGTTTTAAACTAGATTATCTTTTGACACTGATATGTAATGGTATTATGTTTTCAGAGAAAGCGGTCACAAAAAAAGAAACACGTAGAGAGGAGGGCGGCATAAGTGGACCTAGCGCCGATGACGCAGCCAAGGGCAATAACAAAACTACGAGAGCTAAGGGTCAACACGTGCGCGATCGAACACGTGATTATAATTGAACTTAGGCTCATGTGGTTGAGTGTGATAGCTCATATCGTCTCCTATGATTAACAACGTAAACATCTTTCATTTTTTGTGTGTGTTTGTGAAGTGAAGCCATGTCTGTTTGTCAAGACTTCTTGATAGTTTAAGCCATGGATTTTCTAGCTTCTTAGATGATGCCTGCCACACACTAACTCAAGAAAATGGTTACGCGAGATAAGCTCTAGAGAGCAAAAGCTGCCTTTTGAACTACCTAAGAGCACGCCCAACGCAACAGGTTGGCTGGTAGTCTCGTCATGCCAGGTAGGCTTGGGCGCCATATAGAAGGGGAAAAAACATGGAGATAGTAGCCTTGCATTATTGCAGGTTGTCAACAAGTGCCTCACCTGACTTTGTGCAGAAGCACTCACCGGAACAACGCATTGTGAGAGATGAACACCTTCGAGATGTGTTTTCTCTTATCCAGAGGCGTCCACCCCTCGCACGTGAAGGCTTACGGTTGGAGCTAGCAGCTTGCATGTTGAGGTCGAGAAAGGTAGAAGAACAAGTAATATAGGACTGGTACGAAGAAAAATACAGTGTGTGTGTGTGGCTTGGGATAGAATGACATTAGCGTCAATCCCTCGGATCCTATCTGCACAGGATTCGTGAACAGTAGCAAGTGCGCTGGGAGCACGCGAATCCTAGGCGCTATATGAATTTCATATATATAACTTTTTTGCTGGGACAATTGATTTTGTATGCCTATGTTGTTGGTGATCTAAAAGATGATTTCTTTGTCTTCCTAACTCCTCTAGTGAAGCTGAGGGCCTTAAACCGGAGGGGTCTTAAACCGGAGAAAGCAACAGAAAATTTCTCTCCCATCTTTTTTTTTTGTCCGTTCATTTTTTTACCGTCTCCTCCTAACTACCGAAGAATGGAGAGTTTTTCTCTGTCCGGACTTATATATATAACTCATGCTCATGCGAGTAAGAATAGCTCTTGTCTAGGGTGATACGGAGTCCGATTCCAAAACGTATTGAGTCGTGTATGCTCCCTGAAAAAAAAGTCCTTACCCAATACGATTAGTATATATATAGTAAATTCAGTTTTTTTCCTCTTTTTCTATTTCATCATCTGTCCGGCCTTTTTTCTTTTTTTCTGGACTATCTCCGATTAGTTACTGTATCTGTTTTCATTTTCATATTTGATTTCCTTTTTTGTTTTTTCTTCTCTTTTTTCTCTTTTTTCTTTTATGGACTATCAAGTCCGTTTTTCTCATGCCTTTTCCCTTACTATTTTGCATGTCATTTTTGTTTTCTCGATTCTCTCAGGGCTTTTCTTATAAGCATAAAAATAAATAGTAAACACAATATATTATGGGTCTTTTGGATCTTTCATCTTTCGCTAATCCTTAATAATCAAATATTTCAACTACTAAATTATTGATGTAATTTGATTAAGAATAAAAATTATTTTTATTATAACCTAGATCAGCGAATGGTCTAATTAATTAAATCATGAACATAAATCTTGGGCAGTCTATTGTCCAATCTAACCGGGAGGCGGTAGCGGGGGTTGCGCCGTCGACAGACGTGGCGTCGCAGGAGGGGGTGGTGGCGGGGCGGCAAGGTGGTCATCGACGACCTGTCAGGGTGGGGAAGCGAGCGGGGGAGATGGAGAAGGGGGTGGGGAGGAGGTGGCGAACGCCGGCGAGGTGGCTGCCAGCGGCGGCAAAGCGGACACGACCGCCAGCGGCGGTGCCCTAGCGAGCAAGGCGGGCTACCTGCAGGGATTCCTTTTTGCATTGAACTTTTCCGCTCTTTCATGGATAATTAAATATGCTCTTATATATCTACTTATTTTGCACTACAGAAGAAATTTACTAATTTGGCTGGTATTATTCTAAATTGTACTTTATAGAATGTTCTAATTTAACTATTGCTTCATTTCAAAAATTTAATTATTGCTTCATTGCTGATGGATTAATACATATCTTTAGTAACTAAGTGGAGATACAAATTTTGATTTTTTCCCATTGCAACGTACGGGCATGTTTGCTAGTAAATAATAAAAAAAGAAGTTGTGTGGCTCCACTACCAACGGGAAAATAGGGGAGAAAGGACTTGATAGTATGGTTGGTGTGTGATCCTATGTTGATGTAGGGTACCGAGCGCTCCAGTAGTCGTAGTGCATATTTTACTTAATACGTTTGACATGCAATTCTTCTGTGTATTCTCATAAAAAGAATAAATAAAAGAAATTGACACAAGAACCTGTCTGAGTGGTGTTTAACTGTTTGTGCTTTTGTCCGAGGCTGACGGAAACAGAGACCTCCATCGCTACTTTACCTGTTGTCCCTTTTTTTTCACCAACAGACAGGAATTGAAGTGTATGTATATGAAAGGAAGAAAAATACATGGCATTGGCATCTGTATATATCATATATCCTGCTCCTGCTATCAGATCGCAGAGCGATGAGCTGTGAAGAAGTTAAAGTCAGGATGGTGTGCTCCCACTTGCTTCAGCCAAGAGGATGCTGCCCAGTAGAGGTCAGAATGGGATGATGAGACTGATAACCTAGCACTACCAGCAGCAGCAGCATTTGGTGATCCACCACCACTACCACTACCACTACCAGCAGCTGCAGGCATGTGATGCGGCTCCGTCCAGAGCCGCTTCCCTGCTTCCATTCTGTAGGTCGCCAGTCCGAATGGGGAAAGCGCCACGGTCCTGTCGCCACCGCATCTCACTATGATCTCATCTGCAATGCAACCAACCTATTCATTTCAGTTCAGTTTAATTTGTCCGTGCCAGGAATCACCATCGCCGCAAACACACGTTATGCAGCAATCTTGTTACATGCATATATATAGTATGACCAACCCATTAAGATCATATCATATATGCACGCATGCACTACAATACTGAAGTAATAACAGGCCTGTTTGTCTTTCGGGGAGGTGGAAACAACTTCGTTAGAGTAGGCTCTTTCTCCACAATGCAAGAAGCTAGATTGGATCGCAGCAACTACATACTCAAGCATATATAATGCACGAAACTAAGACAAAAGTTTGCATGCAACGAACAAGAGATGTACGGGGTGGTAATCTACACGTTTTGGAATATTTGGAAGGAAAGGAATAGGAGGATTTTCCAGAACAGCTCCATGGATGCAAGGCAGGTGGCCTCCAAAGCCAAAGAAGACATCAAACTACATGGGAGGGCGTTCAATAACAATTTCAGTTAGTGTGTTCGGTGCTCCCATAGCAGAGAAAGTGTTTTGGGTGTGCATTTAGGCCTTCAGCCATTCTGTACATAAACTCTTATTCCTATCTTAATTGAGAGGCAGAACTCCTGCCATATTTTTTTTAAAAAAAAAAAAACAAGAGATGTACTGTGAATGGAATTCCTTTCGATCATGCATAGAACAGAAGGGTACAGTACCTTGAAACACCGTTGAAATAGAATGGTAGGTAAGGAAACATGCAGAAATTCCCTTCAGGTTCCCATGATAAGGGATATGGTAAATAGGATACCTGATGAATGAAGGATAAGACAGAGCAAAAGTGAACATATATCTCTCGGAAAGGCAGAATCACAATGGACAGCGCTAGAAAAAGGATGAATCATTAAAGGCATCTATAGCTTTATTTATTATAGCTTCTTCATGTTGCTGGAATCTCATTCTCTATAGTGTCAAAAAGGTAACAGTATATATTATTCTGCCATATAATCTCCAAAACAAATTGCAATAGATGGATGAAATTTGGTACAAAAAAGGAAGTACCATGCTACCGATAGCCAGCTTGAAGGTGACAATTCTGCGCTGTTCAGCGATGTCAAGCACGGATAGTCTTGTGCCAGCTCTGCCACCTGATCGTAAGTAACACACTACTTCAAAATTACTGCCGCATTGCCTTAGTCTTTCAACTTGAGAGATTATTAGACTGTTCAGCAGCCATATAGCATACATATGTTAGGACTAGTGGTACCTTGTCTGCAAGAGGAATTCTCTCATAGGGTGGGTCGCATTCACTGTACTGGAAATTCAAGTATCCACCTTGCTTTGAACGAACAGTAGGATCATCCAAGTCTTCATGGCTTGAATCATACGATGACGTGGCATCCCAAGACCTGGAATCCTTGTCGCCGACGCTATTATCGTCGCTCCAAGAATCAGTCTCGCTTTCCATGCTCCTGCTGTGTGGGTTTTCATCAATTCCAATCCGCATGCACAGGAAATTGTTGGTCAGTTCCCAGAGAACGAAAGAGCTAGACTAGAATGTTGCCTGAAATGCAACTCATGAGAGCTAGCTAAGCAAGTCAGGCATCAATTCAGATAATAAGTAGGGCGAACCTGGGGACACCAGCAAGAGCCTTGGCGGTGCATATCTGAATAGCTGATAGGTAGGGAACGAAATGCTGGGTAATTGACTTGCCCGTCGTCTGAAGATGGACAGGAACAGCGAGGCCGTACGCGCTGCTCTCTGAATAATGCTCCCACAGATCCTCCAGGGTGAAGTAGTCGACCGAGTGTTTCTTCTCCAGTTGCCAGACAGTGTCTGGCCCTCGGAAACAGTCCTTGTATATAAAAAGGAGAAGAAAAACAGTCGAATTATTGTTGATTGACGAGAACAGAGCCAGATGGTGTTGGTAACAGTAAAGATTTTTTTTTTTTTTGCTCACAGGTGCAAAATGGTAAGGTGAGCAATCACTAGAAAAAGTATCATACATATATTATCAGTAAGTGCAAAAAAAAATGGACATCTCTATTAGGAATGATCAGACTAGGACACTTGATTGTGGAGAATGCAAATGCAGGAGCTAGCCAGCACAAGATTGGTAGGAGTGGATATCAGAGGTGTCGTCTCACCATGGGCGCTGATCGCCACGGCAACCGTGGAGTGGCGGCCTCCAGGAAGACCTCTAGATTGCTGCTCCTGCTCACCATCCCCCCTCCCTCCCTCAGTCAGTCTTTCAAGTCCAACACAACACAACGCAGGAATGCGATGACTGACGCCTGTGTATTTATGCTTTGCTTAGGTGATAGGAAAGAAGAAGAAGATGAAGCGAGAACCTCATCCACGGCGTTGAATGATAATAATGATGCCAGCCATGGCACACAGCACAGGTAGGCGTGCCAGTCGTAGGCTAGCACATTCAGAGGCAGAGCCTGCTGCTGGTCAAGTCAAAAGCCGGGTGGATAGCATAGCATGCAGTAGCACAATGGAATGGAGATGGTTTCACAGCACAGCACAGGACTTGATCAATGTGCTGCACGCCTGCACGGATTAATAAAATGAGTCGCCTTCCCTCCCTCAATTTGCTGCACGCCTGCACCCAGTGACAGTGATACTATGGCCTTGGGTGGCAGGGTGTTGAGGTTCAGAAATGGCTGGCGGCTGGCTGGGTTCCTCAGGTTTCGTGGTGCTATTGCAGTTGCAGGGCCAGGGACGGTGGAATGGAACATGAGAGGAAGAAAACAGGCTACTTTATTACTTGTGGCGCAGGCCCTGCCGTTGGAATGGAATTGGGTTGGCAGTGGGACAGCCACAGCCTGCAAGAGAAGACTAGTGTAGTGGCTGGCTCCAAAATTGTAAGATTTGGGAGTAGTGGTGGAGACCCAAAATGGCCTAGGCTCCACCCAAAAGGGCAGGCAGCAAGACAAAAAAAGAGAGGAGGAAAACGATTTTATTTATTATACTAGTCAAAATAAGAACAAGATAGGGAAAGAAAGCGCGCCATGGTATGGGATGGGAGTGAGACCTCCACCAAGCTAACCTTTTTTTTTTTGAAACTCACCAAGCTTAGCTAACCTTGAGGCTGAGGGAGGCGAAGAGCAGAGCAGAGCAGAGCAGGGCGCAGCTGGCAGCCGCACACAAGAAGAACTCAACCGAGTTGGACGAGGAAGGAAGACGGAGGCCGTCGCGACGCCACGTGTCCCATTCCCACCCTTCACCGCGACCGTCGTGCTCCTGCTCCAGCAGCTCCACGCGGCGGCCGCCCGCAGTTTCAGTTACCATCAAGCTGCAGCAGTACCAGTACTGTACTGCAGCAAGTCATTCATATACTAACGAATCTCAGCCGCACACAGGACTCAATAGTTTACAGTACTAGCGGTACAAAATGAGATCAAGTCAAACTATTTTATGTTACTAAATCAGAACCGGGTGATTTAAACTCATTTTTGTAGATTTCCAATTCACCTTCGTGTTCCCCTGCGGAGTATTCAACCAATCCATGAACTAATAAATAAAGCAAGACTGATAGTTCGAAAACAGATACCCCTACTTACCACAAGGGAAGACTGGTCCAAGAAGGCTCTCAAGATCCTGAAAGAAGCAATATGGGCACTTGAATATATTCCCTGCTACAATTTACCAACACAGAGTTCTAGCAATTCCCAAATTTGTTTGCCAACACTAGCTCTTGGCTGAAGAAATGGGATCGTTTTGCAAAGGGAGTATCATCGATCGATTCACCACGAAGAAACGCATGCCATGCCATGAGGCCATGACGTGACACACAAATAGGCTAGTGGTGGCAGTGCCATGACTATTCAACCGAAATTAACTGCTCAACAGAAAATGAAAGTGCGTGCAGCATGCATGAGAAAGTGGATAAATGCATGGCAACACGTCAAAGAAACAGCATGTGGAACTGCCTGTAGAATAGAAGACGAAAGAATCCATGGAAAGAATCCGGCGGAAGTAGCTAGTAATGCGAGTCCCATTCCCAACGCGCCAAAAATCATGCCCAGTCAGCTCGATCCCAATTTCCCCCATCAAGGTGGATGAGAGAACATCTGTCATTAATACCTGCTCGAAAATCGCCAAGCTAGCTAGCGATCGCCGTTCACCGATGGGGTTCGGTTTCGTTTTCCGAGTAGCGGAGTGCTGGAGTAGGGGGAAACATCCCCAATTTTCTTTGAAGGGAAAATCCATAGAATAAATTTTAATATGATAAAATCAAGAACTGATTCTATCATGTTATCATATTTCAATCGATGTCACAGTCATACATCGTAAGATTACAAAAATATAAGATATTACATCACTGGAAAACACACCTATTACATAGTTAATCTAGCGGAATAGTATCGAGTGAAGGCTCCTCCTTCACGGGTCATCATCAGAGTTGACGTAGTACAACGTAGATTCTATCTCCGAACCAAACTTGAGCGTAGGCACGAGACCTCCTAATCCTTCTAAAGTCAGCATCTCTGAGAAGCAGAAAATCTGCACACCGCCAGATGTGTGCAGGCCATGGTCAGCACCGATGAGCTTTAGTGGAAAAGATAAACAAGGGATCTGGCGATCCTAATATTTGGCTGTGGTTTACATCCTTAGCGCATGAGAAGTAAATAACATTAGTAATATAGTAATAATATCCAGTTTTTAACACATTCACCACCACACCATCTATATCCATCCACCAACCATCCATCTCAAACCATCTCCACACCACCACACCATATCTCATCTCACACACTCAGGTCGACAGGCCAACTCCCTCTCGGCCTTGTCTCAACGGCCCGCAGCCCCCAAGGCTCACGACCGGAAAATACCCCAACCCTGGAGGGAGAAAAGAAGGACTCATCTCCTATCTAGTTTAAGCGAAACCCAGGAAAGGTCCATAACCGACAAGTCGGCTTATGTATCGATCGATCAACCATACACTCTGCAGAGGTTTTACATACCCACAAGATTAGTCATCCTTGGAGTCTAGAATCTCCTAGGCAGAATTCCGGTCGCTTGCTAGCCTAGAACGATGCCACCCTACCTCTCAGCCCTGGAACATCCCAAGTCTAGTCTGGAATGGCTGATACTGTGAGTCGTAGACAGAGCCGGGGCCCTCAGGATGTCAAGAGCCGAGTCCACAAGGCCTCCTGAAGTCTCGGAAGGGTGTGGGGAAAAAATCGCGCGCCCCGTACCTCCTTGCACACGTTCGCCTAGCAGTAGTGGCATCGCTCTACCAAGTAGTCTGACCGTCCCACACCATATAGGGCGAGTGGGATGTAAAGGATTCCCGCTGAATCTAAGTACTAGTAAGTTCTTAGGGATTGACCAAGCCAGAATGTCTTCGTCAGGGTTTTCATTTTACGTGCCACCACAACACCTCCACCCTGGGCTCCTCCCATCACAGGTTCACACCCAAGGCCACCTCCAATTACCATTTACCCGCCACAGGTATTTCATATCCAAGTGCCCAGGTAGCACCACATGGCAAGACTCACCCCAGGCTCGTCGTTATTCCAGCTCGGTCGACACAACCCTCACTCTCCACGCACCCAAGACACACGCAGCACGCTCACACACCACCAAGTCCGGCACCCATAGCCAAACCATTCCCAGGGGGTTCACCACCAGCATCACATCCCCGACATAATGCGAAGTGGAGTTATTAATAAGTATAGTGGTGTAATATGCAAACAAGCAGACAAGTAAGCATATATAAGCGAGCGAATGCGCAAGGCAGGGTGACGTGGTAGAGTGGGTTGCATTAGGTAATAATGGCTCAGGTAGTAGCATGCATCAAAGTACTAGCAAAGGAATAATTTATAAAGCGATAGCTGTTCTAGATATTATGCAATGTCTAATAGGATTCTCTAAAAGAGGGTGCTACCATGACACCTGCGATGTAGAGGTAGTAGTGGTACAATTCTCCATTCATTGGTGTTCCATTAGCGGGGTCACCTCCTCCTACGTTGACTCCATTCCGTAGTCCTTGTCGTCATCCACGTTCTCTTGGTCCGATCATTAGCTACTCCGCGAAGCGACACGCAAGGCAAGAGAGCACTCAACATTCGAAAAGACGACAAGACGCAGGAAAATCCAATAACACCAGTGAGGCAATAAGAGATACACGGCTTAGCCCTCTCGGCGGTTGTCTGATTTCCTCGGGCCAAAGAATCACAAGTGGTGGTTTGCTAAGCACAAGCTTAAGTCATGGCCAAGCCAGTATGGCTTTAGGATAGATGGTTTAAGCCAAAACTTATCCATAGCAACACCACGGCTCACGACCTTCGATCCGAGCGTCATGGAAAAGACGGGAATCGGGGGACAGGCCCAACGAAGGAAGAACGACGGGGTTCGACTCTTATAGTCTTATCCCGTAAGTCACTATTGGATACAAGATGCAAACAAGAACGAATAACACTATTGTGACTTGGCTCCAATGTACTTCGGCTCGCCCACTATGGTAGAAAGCGGTAGCGCAAAGAGATTGGACAACGACGGGTCCTCTCGATCCACGCGACACAATAACGTCGGGAGCCGAGAAGAGAGTCACTCAACACGGCAAAAGAAGCGGGGGTTAGCTAGGCACATCCATGTCATGTTCTCAGACACATCTTCGGGAAAGATGGTCTTAGATGGCCGATCGGGTCGACACGCACGGGTCCGTGGTACGACATAGACTATAGCTTCGCTAACTAAAAAGAGATAGTCCGGTCTTTGATCCAATCGCCATGGACAAGGTGGGGTCGAACAGAGCGGGCTAATAGGGCAATAACAACAAAGAACGGAGGTCTGCTCCTTCCAACACACACGCCACGACAGAAGACAGGGCATCGGAAGGAGCGACTCACTAAAGAATACAAGTGCGCAAACCACTCATAGGGTACCCAACCTGGGTGCACTGGCACTAAGTCATCTCTCTGATTCATAACGGTGCGGTGGTCACCGCGAGAATCAAAGAAACGCGATGGTTGAATGAGGTACAAGCATACAAGGGCTTGTGCACGAAGAAGCAAACAAAAGTGAAAGAGAGGCGTAGCTCCATGGTCATGGCGAGGCGAACTCGCGGCCACAAGCTACACCAACAAGTTGGCACCCATCGTTCCACAATTGTTATCTCCAGGTCATCTCCCACAGGACTTGGTCATGGAGGGCTCAAGGCGTGCGGGTGATATCCGCATCAATGCTAGTATCGGCATCGAATCCATCACGA